GCCCTCGGAGAATGAAGCTTTTGACCAATAGCTTTTGACCAAGGTAGACGCATGGGCCCAGAAAGAAGAAGAGACATCGAAGGCAGACGTTGGGAACGTAGAACTAGAAAGGAGTTCAATGAGGACGAGGTTGAGGCGTGTGTGAACAAGCTAAAGTGCCACAAAGCAAGCAGGAGCGGATGGGATAGTCAACGAGTTCATGAAGTTTGGGGGGAAGGGGATGATCCAGCTGATGGTACTGCTATACAATTGGGTGTGGAAAAACGAGTATACGCCAAGTAGATGGAGGGAAGGAGTGGTTGTGAACTTGTTCAAGAAAGGAGACAAGACTGACCCAGGAAACTACAGGGGGATCACACTGTTGAACACAGTGAAAGTGTTCTGTAAGCTACTGAACGATAGGAGGATAGTGGGAGTATTGGAGAAGGAACATAGTATCAGTGAGGGCCAGGCAGGTTTCCGAAAGAAGAGGGGGTGCGTAGACCACGTGTTGACGGTGGGGAGAATCATCCAAGGTAGAAAGAGGGCGGGAAAGCCAACGTAATGCTTCTTCCTGGACGTGAAAAAGGCGTACGACACCGTATGGAGAAATGGGTTGTGGAAACAACTGTCCAAATACGGGATCAAGGGGAAAATGTGGAGAGTGCTGAAGAAGATGACAGAGTGCACGAAAAGCGCGGTCATGCTAGACGGAGAACTGTCAAAATTCTTCGACATTGAGCAGGGGGTCCCACAACGTTGTACGCTGTCCCCAACATTGTTCCAGGTGTTCATCAAAGATCTGTTGGAAGTCGTAGAGGCAGTCCGGAAGGGAGTAAAAGTAGGGGACACGGAAACGTCGGTTTCAGGAATGCTGTTTGCGGATGATTTTGTCGGTATGTCGGACACCCCTGAGGGACTGCAACTGCAAATTGACGCGGCGAAGAAGTTTACTGATAAGTGGAGATTGTCTGCCAACGTTAATATGAGTGCCGTCATGGTATGCAACGAGAACAAGGAACCAGTAGAACATAGAAGATGGAAGTGGGGGATCGAGGAGATTGCAGTAGTGGACCAGTA